GGGCAAACCCCGGGTGAGGTGCGGAGACGACGAGCGGAACTGGGAGGTGGGGGGAATCCCTCGGCCGCCTCCACCGACCCCGCCCCGGGGCCGCTCACGTCGGTTCCGGGGCGGATTGCCCCTCTCCTGACCGCGCGGCACTGCGGCTCTCGGGAGTTGGACGGTGGGGGAGGGGTTGGAGGTCGCGGGTCCAGAAACCGTTACTGGGTGGACAAGGGGGAGGCGGCGGCGCTGGGCAGGATGGGGCCGGGATGATGGAAGCCAAGACCCGCGTGGGAGCGGGGTTAGCGAGCCTGGTGCCCCGGGCGCACCCGAGCCGGCTAACCCTCGGCAAGGAAAAGAGCGCGCCGGGCGCTGGGGACCAACTGACGCTCCCAGTTGATCGCTTCCAGCCCTCTGAGCCCTCTGCCTCAAGGGCCTTCTCACTGATCCTCTAGAGCCCCAAAAGCAGAAGCCTTTGGAACCTGCGTCCTCCCTCCGCCCTCCTCGCCCCCTCCCTCCTGCAGTGAGTATCCGGGTTTATTTGTAAATATTCTGGTGACGGGGTGGTTCCTCCTAGTGAACCATGGTGTCACGTCCTGTAGCGGCTTGTCACTTTCACCCTTGCCTTGTAAGAGGTGACTTACAACTCCTCTGCAGAAGTTGCTGCAACCTTGGATCTCAGTGTTTCGCACCCGGAAGCCAGGCAGTTTCTCTATAACTCCACTCTGCAAAACCTCTCTAGGACTCATCATCTGGCAGGGCAACAGTCCCCTCAGTTCTTTTCTAAAATAAGCTGGCCACCTTACCTGCAGAGAACTAGATGGAAAACCGTGCAGTAGTTTCCAAATTCGTACACCGTAAAATCATAGAGCACTGGATTTATACACAGCAGTGTGTCTATCCAAATCACTGGTGATTTTCACTAGTGTAACCCCTTGATGTCTTTGACACAACCAGCTCGCTCTTGGGGCGGTATTCTTGGCTGCATTTCAGAGCTGAAGAGCCAGGATCATATAGGCTAAGTAACTTGTTCAAGGTCACAGAACTATTAACAAAGAACTTTTGAGCTCTTGACTTCATATTTTCCCACTCAAACATCAAATGATTATTTTTTTCCCAGACCACCCTCCTGCCTCCTAAAACAATTTTGTAGTATGGTGTGTTTGATGTTCTTAAATGGCTGAGATAAACTACCAGCATAAATTAATTTTTCCATAATACATTTTGGCAGTAAGAAGTAAATCTGGTTTGAAAAAAAAGTCCAGCTTTTTTGACAGAAATTGGTTCCATTGGCAAGTAGAGAAAGAGGTAGTACAAAAGAAGTCAAGAAAGCTTTGTTACAAATGGCTCCTGATGAAATAGTTCCCAGGAATGTCTTCTAACACTTAGCGCTCTCAGGCTAGCTTATTTTTGGTAACAGAGTGGCAGGCAGCAAGCACATTTAAAAAAAAATAATAGTAATCCCTGAACGCCCTAGGAACTTATCACATTGAAGAAATGTGGTTGTAGATAATGCTTTCATTTTCAGTCTTCACCTGTCAAAATGACATTGCACAAGATTGTACATTGCCATAGTCTTAAGATAATCATAAGCCTTGATCTTAAATTCTTGAATTAAAAGGTGTCTAAATTTTTTTCTAAATCCCCTAAATAATTCAATTTACAACTAATACAGTTCTACCAAGTATGATAATGAACATTAGTATTTGAAGGACAGCATAAAAGCTGTCAGTTCTGGATAAACAATGCACAGTGACTCAGACAGCAAAATAACATGGATGGAAGAGGATACGGCCACAATGCTAGATGTGTCCTCTCAGCTGATTGTTTTTGAAAAGACACTCCAGTAAGAGAAAATTAACTGTCCTTGATATGGTGAGTAGCCACATAAAAATTATTTCCTAGCGTGTGTGACCGCCAAAGCTGACCTCTCCTTGAAAAAGGGAAACTAGTTTATGACCTTCAGTTAACTCAGTGAGTCTTCAATGGATCAAGGGAAAACACCTTTGTAACTGTGACTGCATCCTCTGCCATAAAGATATAGAACTGTTACTAGAGAACAGTGGGAACTCAGAAAGGATGACCCACTCTCAGCGGCTGGCACTCACGTGGAAGAGCTGACCGAGAGACACAGACATCACATAAAGGACAACAGGGCGCCCGCAGCCACTGGCAGCCATCCGATAGCCTGCATGCACCCACCGACGGAAAAACGGATGAAGTGAGGCAATTCTATCAGTGTGAGTGAAGACCGAAAGGCACATCCAGCCTGCTTCAACCTACATAAATGGGAACGATATAAATAATACAACAAATGCTTGAAAAGCCTCCATTCTTTTGTCTCCCTTCTCCCCACCTGACCCACTCATACATGCACAGAGGGAAATGTCCCCTTTGCCAAAAGAGGTGTTTCATTATGAACATGCAAACTCAGGAGTCTCTAGACTTGAATCCAAGGATGGAGGGGAGGTGGGAGGGCCCCAGGCAATTACGTCGCCAAAAGTTCTTTGGGGATCTTAGCAGATATCTACAGAATATTTTCCTTGAACTTCCCTAATGACCACATCCTGGAGATGTCCCCTGAAGTCACCTCAGGGATATTAGGTAGAAAGCAATCCAGGCTACACTATGTCAGAGTTGTTTCAGAATGACCTTGAAGCTAGACTAGGTGTGATGACCTTGATTTGCCCTCCAATAGCAGGGTTAGTAATAAGAGAGTTATCCTGGAGAGCTCTTTAAAACTGCTTAATTTAAAATTGCTTAATCTCAACTCTTAGAGATGTTCCAAAATCGTTCCGTTGGTACTTTAGGGTGCACTCGTTAATCTCTGTGGCCACTGAGTACAAGACACAGAATTCTCAGTTGTCTTCAAGTATCCAAGAGAAAAGAAATTAAGCAAGGTTATGTAGTATGAGTGGGAGGGTGATTTGTAAAGAGGATAGTCAAATGCAGTCTGTCTGTTGTGAGCTCTTGGTGCAGAGTATTGCTTTGTTATACAGCAGAACTGAAGCAGTTTTGAAGTCAGCACCATATGACACAATGCCATGTGCAGAAAAGTCCACAATTTATATGTCCTATTCTAACCTCAGCACTGCATTCCAGACTTCTGTGTCAAATCAACTCTATGACTACACAACTTAGATATCTAAGAGCTGTTTCAAACTAACCCAGCCCAAAAGCAAACGACACCCTTAAACCTGCTTATTCCCTTCTTCGTTATGCCAATAAACCAGCTGCTCATTCATCCAGGTACTTAAGTCAAAATCCTTATCGTCATCCCTTGACTTTAATTATTCATATCATATATTTGGTCTGTCGAAAAATTCTTTCTAATGTGCTTTCAAAATATACTTCAAATTTTACTACTGCTTTTCAACTCTGCCCCCAGCATCTCAGCTCAAAACACCATGGTGCACCAGGGTCATCAAAATAGTCTCCCTGCTTCTTACTCTTGAATCTGCCCCCTACAGCAGCCAGGATGAGCCTAGTCAAATGTGAATCCAATCCGGCCATCCCCCTGCTCAGTACCCATCCACGGTTCCCATCACATTTGGTGCAATTATCAAAAATCTGAGCATGTCCTACAAATCTTCAACCTAGCTCCTTGCTATGCCTATAAAGACATCTCTATATCCTTTCCACCACTATCTCCCTGGTCCTCAGTATTCATTCCTACCACACTGACCTCCTAGCCCCTCCCCAGGTACGCTCCTTCCTTACTCTTCCTCCAGGTGTCACGGCGTATTTCCTTGCTTCACTCAGATCTCTGCTTGGAGGCACCTCATCAAAAAGACCTTCCTTAGCCTTCCTATCTGAAGTAGAATCCTCCACTCCCATTTTATCTCTAACCTTTGCCCAGTTTTGCTCTTTTTCATACTGATTTACTTTTCAACATGATATATTTACATATTGTGTGTATTTTGTTTGCTTTTTTTTTTTCTCATTTAACATCTTCCTCTGGAACACTGGCTTGACTGGAGACTATTTCATTCGCTGCTCTGTCCCCAGTGCCTAGAACAGTGCCTGGTCAGAGTAGTGGTCAGTTAGTACTTATTGAATAATTATATGAATAATTCAGGCAATCAAGCAGATAATTATCAATCAGTCTTGTGTTTAAGGCACTGTGCAGCTGGTGAAACCATAATTTCCAGGTGGGAATGCAATCTGTAGGACAAGGAAGGATGCAGTCACAGCATTTTGGTGCACACCATGCAATGCAATTATTTTTCATTGCTTAACCAAATTAACTAAAATTATTCTGTTCTGTACTAAGAAGTAATTTGTATTCACTGACTAATTTGTCATTTCCTGCCATGTATAAGTGAAATTAAAGTCTTGGTTGACCTTGATCTCATGTTCAGTGAAGTCATCAGAAATTTGAAAATGCACACCATTGGTCTTAAGGGAAAGTGAAGGAGTGTGGGTGAATGGTCTCCATGTCTGACCGGTCTCACTGATCACCCATCGTGCTCCTCATTTGTTTATACTACACTGCATTCTAGCATCTGTCAGTTCTACCTGTAAGTTTGGTACCATACTTTCCTTCAACCTTTCTACCTTTGCCTCTTGCATCTCTCCACTCTCCCCTACCCCTGCTGGCTCTTCCACTCATAAAGGCTTCTGTATCGAAGCTGATGGGACAGTCCTCTCTCTACCCTTACTAGATGCCTTAATCCTCACCAACGTCCTTTGACCTGGCGTTTCTCTAAGAACTTGGTGAGATCTGAAAGCACACACATAACTAAACTCTGCATACAAGTACTATTGAAGTTATGAGATAGTTAGCTTCCTAATTCCTACCAAAAACACCTCCCCCAAAATGCTTTGAGACCTTCAGAACAATAAATGAACATCTTAAAGTCACGTTGGCTTTGTAAAGGATCATATTGAATTTTTAAATATTAGAAAATATAACCAAGCATTACTTTTACCCTTAGTCTCCCTACCTTGAAACTGGGAAATGCAGAAGGGCATTTTACCTGACAGGTTGAAGGCACAGAAATATGCTGAATCACTGGGTACACTGGATATCCTAAACCTGACTGACATCTGGAATGCAATTGAATCAGTGTGACCTGATAGGGCCACTCGAGCTTTAGAAAGCTCTCGAATAAAGCTGGCCCTGGCTCCCCTCAGCTCAAAATCTTCTATTTCTCTACCAAATTCACATATTAAAAATGGTTTTATGACCTCTATTGTATTATACCTTGCATTGTGGTTCAGTATTGACTTATATGTGTGTTTTTTTTTCCTCTTGTGTTAGATTGTAAGCTACTTGGACTTTGAACCTATCTGTTTAAGTGAATCTTTTATTTGCATATACTATAATGACTGAAATTAGTGAGAGCTCAATAAATGTGCACTAAATGAGTAAATATTAATACAAATCTCAATTCAAGAGAAATATTATTTACTTGTTAAAAGTTACCAATAGAGTTTCATACCAATAACAACTTAAAGGTAGCTATGCTTCCATGAGATTTGGATGGACAGTGGTAAATTAGTTTATATACTAGACAGAGACAAATCCTTGTATGAATAAAGGATTCAGAGTCCCTAAGACCAATCCAAGATTAATAAGTTCAGTAAAACACTGACTGTCCATTCTCTTCTCCTTTCCCCTGCCTACTCTCCCTCAGGATACTTAACTCACTCACCTGGGGCCTGATCAGTTTCACCACCATTCTGAGAAGAGTGGAGATGCAGCAAGAAACATGCAAGGATGCTAGCTGGAGCTTGGCTTCAGCAGGGTACCAGCCTGAATCCTGATTGCTCTACCCAAAGAGTCCTGGAGTCTCTGATTTTTCCCCAGGGCTTCTGCCTAGATTAGGAACACTGGTCTGTTTTCCTCTGCCTTAGAAAAGTCCTTATTCAGACAAGAAGAGGAGACAATTCCATGTTTACCCCAAATCACAAATTTTATACCCCACCCCCAGTTCTACTTCAATCCATCAGACTTTAAAGTTTTCAGGAAAGGATCGTGATTGACTCAGTCTGCTTTGGTGAGCTGCTGACCAGTCACCGAAGTTACCTTCAGCCTAGTTACAGTTGTTACAGGTAAACAGCACCTCCTTAAAGGAAGAGAAATGTTCCCAGGGGAATGACTGCTTGACCGATACAAGTAGATGCCTGCTCTCCCCAGACTGTGGAATTTGACATCTAGCCCTTACACTTTACAGTGCTTGTCAACTCTTTCCTCCCGTGCATCTGAAGTCCTGAACTTAGCCCTGCCCAGCTAAGCCAACAACATGAAACTGCTCACCAACAGATACAGAAATGCAAAACCATGAGTTATAAACCGCAGCTATCTGCAAGGTTTCTTAAATGCAGGAAGTTTTAAATAAGTGGGCATAACTTCATACAGTTAAAGAAGAATAAACTTTGATGTTATACGCATGAGCTCAATATGCTGGTGTGTGTCGGGGGTGGCTGAGGGAATGAGTGAACGACTGGGTAGGGGAATCCCACAAATAATGAGTATCATCAAAGAGGGATTGAGTGCAAACCATGAAACACCATCTCTTTCTGAAAGTGACAATTTTTTTGGTAATGCATTTTGAGACATGGATGAACCTGACCTCAAAAAAGCCATATTCCAACTGAGAAGATAAGTACATAGATATAAACAAGTTACATAGACTAAGAGTTATAGTAGGAGGATTGAAGTGTTTAAGAAATACACATATAGACAATTCTGCATGAGAAAGATGATTCAACCTAAGAAAATGTTTCTCAGAGTGGGTCATTTGAGCTGGGCTTTGAAGGGTAGATAGGAGTGTGCCAGGTGTGCCTCATGTCAGCAACTAACCCAAGAGGATAGAGGAACTTCTGTAGATATCAGACTTCAGTGTGAGGACTATAGAGACAAGGACGGATGAGACAGGATATGATTCAAGGTCATAAAAAATGAAGATGGTGGTAAGTAGGATAAAAGTGAACCTACTATATACTGAAATACTAGAAGAGACGCATACTTTCTGTTGGAAAAATATCACTATAAGGCATCAAATGCAACCAGAACCACCTCAGAACCAGGAAATAAACAAATCAGCCTCCAAAATCCACTGCAGCCCACCCTACGCACAACTGCATGAAAATCTATTTCACAAATGCTTCCACTTTCCCGTCAGGTGAAACCACTAGATCTGTTTTATTTGATTTAAAATATAATCCTTATAAACATATTTACCTAATTTCTCTGTCCACAGCAAATTACAAATAACAAACTTGGACATGTAAGCAGAAGAGCAGCTTCGGGAAGCAACAGCTAATGTTCTGCCCTCCTCGCACAGAATCAGACCCACTAATTTTAAAATCTCCTCAGGAAGAGTTCATTTAGAAGCAAACAGCTCTATGCACAGCGTAGAAAGCCGCTGGAGGTCTGTCTGCTTTTACACTTGCACAATCACTGGTACTTGTAATAAAGGATGTGAACATCCAAACAAAGTTTACAGCCTGGACTGTGTGTGTTGATTAAGTAAAGCATGATAAGACATGCATTCATAAGATTCCCTTCCAATACGGTTAATTACAAATTTTTACTAGTTGAAATAACCATTTGGGAAAGTTTCCTTATACTCCTCGGGGCAGCTCCACCCACCACCTTGGCCCTGCCCGGATTCAACCGCGCTGTTCCCTTGTGAGCATGCGCCGCTTGCGTCTCCCTCTTACTTGCTCCACCTGTCTTTCTCCAACCAGCAGATCACAAGTTACTTGAGGCCAGATCATTTTTTTATATATAAAATTTATAGTTTGTCCCCAGTGCTTAGTAAAAATGCATTGATAAGTAATGGGTATTCAAAAAAGTGTTACTAAACGAACAAGAGAAAAATGAAGTTTTTTAAACAGGTGTTTTCCCTATCTTGGCTATTGTGAATAGTGTAATGGACACGAGAGTGCAGTGTTAAAAGATAGACTGAGGCCTGTTAAAAATTTTAAGAGCTTATTTGAGTAAAAATTGATTCAAATGGGGCACCATTCAATCTGACAGATGGAAAGGAGCTTCAAGGATCTGTGCAAAATGGAAGACTTTATAAGCAGAAGGGAGCAGGGACAGGGAAGTGATACCAGGTTAAAAAAAGTGGATTGGTTATTGCAAAGTTACTTTCCTTTAGGGGACGGCTGGGGGCTACCAGGCAGATTACCTGACTAGCGCTGATTAGGTGATCCCTGATGGGCTGGTTTAAAATTTCATTTCTGGAAGAGCTGAAGATATACTTAAGTCTTAATTTGGTGACATGGAGCTTAGCAGGAAAAGACAGGGGATGGGGGTGTTATATGCCTGACCTTCTGAGATTGATATCATGAAATGTCATAATCACATGCTTTCAAAATT